GTAAAGTAAAATAATCTTATAGTATAAATAATCCATGGGAACGGAAGTAGAGTTTACATTTCGATGTGCCAAAGTCGAAGCAAACATGGCTACTTGTATTGAAGACAGAAATAATACCAACAATGAGATATTGGTTAGATGTCTTGCATGGAACAGGAGGAGATCACCAACCTAAGGCCTATGGCCTGGATGACTCTTAGCGAGCTAGTTATATATATCATAGACCTGGGGTCTCCAAACTTTCTAAAGAAAGGGCCAGTTTATTGTCTTTAGGACGGTTGGACTGTGGCCAGTGGGAGTAGAAAATGCCCCATCATTGGTTTTACCGAAAGTAATAGTGCCCCATGCAGGGAATAGTGCCCTATTGTTTATCAATGGAGGGAATAGGGCCCTATTGTTTATCAATGGAGGGACTAGTGCCCTATTGTTGATATCAGGGCCAGGACAAGAGGTGGTCAGGAGGGACAGCTGCCCTGGGCACTGTGATGGGGGGGCACCATGAGGCGATTGGGGAGGAGGGGATTTGTGTTGGAAGGGGGAATTTTGGGGGGAGGCAGCGGTTAAGAATTGTTCTAGGAGGGAAAATTTGGGGAATGGTGATTTGGAGGGATTTGTGTTGAGAGGGGGTATAGAGGAAGATGATTTGTGCTAGGAATGGGGATTTGGGGGGGGGGTGGGGTTGTGCTAGAAAGGTTAATATGGTAGAGGGGGGAGGGTATTTGTGCTTGGAGAGGACTTTGTTTTTGGGGGGGGGAATTTGTGCTAGGATGGGGTATTGGGGAAGGGGAATGCGTGCTGGGAGGGGTGAATTTGGAGTTGGGTGAAGAGGAGTTGTGCCCAGAAAAGAAATTTGAGAGGCAGAGGATTCGTGCTAGGAGGGGGAATGTTTGTTTTTTTTGAGGGGGGGGGGGGGGGGTTTGTGATAGGGGTATATGGGGAGATGGAGGATTTGAGCTGGGGGGAATAGGGGGCAAAGATTCATGCTGGTAGGGGGAATTTCAGCAGGGGTCAGATCTGTACTGGGAGGAGGGGGAATTTATGCTTAGAGGGTAAGCATGCAGATTGTTTGCTTTTTTTTTTTTTGTTAGCGAGGGAGGGGAATTTGCTGACACATAATGCCTACACATTTTGAGGGGGCGTAAATTGGCATGTTCGCTTTGGGTTCTATATGACCTTGTCCCGACACTGATTGGTATCAGTGGGAAAATTAGTGCCTCATGGTTGATATTAGTGGGAGGAATAGTGCCCCATCATTGGAGTCTGTAGAAGGAATAGTGCCCCGCCACTGGTGTCAGTGGGAAGAATGGTGCCCCATCACTGGTGTCAGTTGTGCATGGAATAGTGCCCCAAGGGCCAGATAGAGGCAAGCAAAGGGCCATATCTGACCCTGAGGCCGTAGTTTGGAGATCACTGTCATAGACATACAGAACTACTATATGAAAGCATTTCCAATGATATGACTTATTTTTACTTCTTCATCATACACCTTAACAAAATGATAGCAGAAAAGGATATTAGGGGGTGGTTGGCCCCCTGTAAAACGCAGGTCAAACAGAGAGGGAGAGACTACATGGTTAAGTATATGAATGGAAAGCTGTAAATCAAGGAGCTGAGATTTTTAGTTTGCCCAGGAAGTTGGACAGAGAAGCCTTGAGGAACCACTCCGTATATTGAAAAGATGTCATTATTGACAGTAATTCCGATGGGGAGAAGGTACATTCAATACAGGAGCGTCATCTCATAAAGAACCTTGTGGGAGACATGTTTCTGTGTCCAATTTCTCTTTATAGAGAAGAATCGTAAGATCCTTTTGGACGGTAGGGTGGGTAGAGGTAGTCCACATTCTTGGGATACTTTTCCTAGCTGTCAGGAGACAGAGGTGTATCCCTTGTGGAATATAGGTGCTGGGTTCATCAGAGCTTGTCTGACGCATTGTAACTGAATAGCAGTAAAAGGGGTGTATTGGGAATACGTATTCCACTGATACCATGAACCAAAAATTGATTATTTGGTCTTTAATGTGTTTTTGATGCATTTTGCATTTTCAGGAGGTGTCTGTTATCTTGAGGGAGAAACCAGGAAAAATACAGCAGAAACGGATAAAAAACTAAATTTTTGATGCGTTTCATCTGCATTTCCATTAAAGTCTACTCGGGAAAAAAAGTCCCCGATCCTTTACAAAAAAAAGCACCAGTGGAAAATGCACAGATGTGAACAAGACCCATAGGAAACCATGTTGAGTGGACTGTAGTGCTTTTCTGCAAAACTGAAAATGCAGTGAAAAACACATAGGTGTGAAACAGGCTATAGGCTCCGTTCACATATGAACGTTTTGAATCACGGGCTGAATCACTATGAGCACAGGGCAGCCCAGTGGCTAAATGGTTACCACTTTCACCTGGCAGTACTGGGGTCACTGGTTCAAATCCCAACCATGGCACCACCTGCCTGGAGTTTGCATGTTCTCCCTGTGCCTGTGTGGGTTTCCTCCAGGTACTCCGGTTTCCTTCCACACTCCAAAGACATGCTGGTAGGTTAATTGGCTCCTGTCCATTTTGGCCCTAGTATGTGTATGTATGAATGTGAGTTAGGGACCTCAGACTGTACACCCCTTAAGGGTTAGGGACTGATGTGAATGTGCAATAATATATATGTAAAGCGCTGCGTAAATAGATGGCACTATATAAGTACCTGTAATAAATAAAGTATTCAAAACACTCTGCTAAAATTAAAAATCACACAATGCGAATTTCAGGTTGAATTCATCTTGGCAAAATGAAACCTAAAAATGTGGTGTGGTTTTGTCACGCAATAAAACACGCTCCAATCGCAGCAAACCGCATCACACGCAGGGGTGTATTTACCACAAGGCAAACAAGGCATTTGCCTAGGGCGGCATTTTTCAGGGGGGCAGCGCTGTTCCCCCGAAAGAAGGAAAGGAAGAAGGGACACACACAGCATGAGGACCAGGTGGGATCTGAGAGAGGCTGCGGGCTGTTTGATGGTGTATGCAGAGCCTGACTCTTGTTCCTGGGAATGCCCGGAGCTGTGAAGGTGAGTGACTTATCTCTTGCCAAGGAGGGGGGGTTTGCCAGTGTGTGGGGGGCTGTGGTAGTGGAAGGCTTGGAGGGTAAGGCTAGAGGGGGGGGGCTGGGGTGTTGTTGGTCACTGTCAGGCTTTCTTCGTGGGGGAGGGGGGGTGTTGGTCATGTCAGGGTCTCTTCATGGGGGGGGCGCAATGTTGCCTAGGGCAGCACGGAATCTAAATACACTACTGATCACATGTAACTTGTCACCCAATAGAAGCTCCTATTCCTTTTTGGGGCGACAAGCTTCGCGGGTGAGGTTTATCGCGATCGCAGCACAATTTATCACGTGACAAATGCGGCAGAACTGCACCACATTTTTAGGTGCCATTAAAATGAATTGCACCTGAAATTCGCGTTGTGTGATTTTGTCATTTTAGCAGAGTGTTTTCAAATTGTGAGCAGAATCACGGTGATTCATAGAGCCCATTTGTGAATGGAGCCTTTAAGTGCATTATTGTAATGTGTTCATTCACGGTTTGTACTTGGTGTTTGAGTGCGTTTTTAATAACTACAATATTGTGCACTTATAAAGTTGGAGGCAGGAAGGGGAAACACTTTTCTTTTTAATTTTATTTGCACTTTTTTTTAAATTTTATTTGTACTTTTTTTTTTATTTGCACTTTTTTTTTTTAAACTTTATTTGTACTATCAGTCATGTGCAAATGCCTTGCACTGCAGTGGGATGCCCTGTATATCTAGAGCAATTTGTTGCACAAAAAAATAATTTTGGCATAACGGGCAACACAGCGCATATTATTTCCTTTGCTGCTGTGTCGTGGTTGCGTTGGGCAACGCCACCCAAAGCACCCCAACAGCTCTGGTGTGAACTGGCCCTAAGCCCACATATCATTTTTACATTTTGCCCTCCTGCCACAGATCCATAAGTTACCTGAAAACCAAATAACATTTTCTATACTCCCATCTAATCCTATCAGCTGGTGCAGGTGATGACGTAAAGAAAATGACAGATGATTACTTAGCATTAGCTGAGAAAAAAAGGAGCAATGGGAGAGTTGGTATTTCGACCATACATAATGGTATGAGTGTTAGGCCCCATGTACTCGGGACACTTCTGAACAATGGAAACGGACTGCTGGAAAACGTAGGTTAAAAAAACGTCTGTTTAGCCGCGTTTGCATACCATTTATGTGTGTTTGCGTTTAGAATCTTTTTTTTAAAGATAACCTCAGGAGACCTTCCAAAATGCCCAGAATGCACCAAAAAACAGTAAAAAAAAAAGAACTATTTCAGACATTTTGAGAGAGAAATGGAGAGAGCAGAAGCAGAGAGAGCAGTATGTGTTGAGATTAGCTGTTTTTTTTTTTTTTGTGCTGTTTGGATGTGTTCCAGCTCATTTCTGTGCAGAAAATTATTGCAGCAGTGTCTAACATATTTTCTTTTTTCTTTCATGCGAAACCTCAAAGTATGGTGTACCGGGTCCATTTGAGTACTGCGAAATACTTTGCATGCATTTTTCATGATGAAAAAAGGCGCTGGACAGCATCTGGAAATGGAAGAGTTAAAAATATTTTCCAAACACAAACGCTTATAAACGCTGTTAACCGCGTTTACATGCATTTACGCACATTTGTTTGAAATGCTGATAAAATCTACTCCTGAACGCAAGTTTGGTGCGTTCAAAAAAACGGCTGTAAACTCATCTGCCTGTAAATGACATAGTGTACATGGACACATAGGAAAACATTAGGGAGAGTTCAGGGGCTGCTGAAAAAAATGCAGAAAAGCTCCTAAATGTGAGTTTATCAGCTGCAGTGTACATGGAGCCTTAGAAGTGTCAGTTGCACTGGGCGTCTGTACAGTGGCCGTCCTCTGCTCTCTCCTCCCTGTGGGTGTACCTCGCTCAGCACTGCCAGTGCACCCGTCCTCTCATTCTCACAGCAATCCTCTATACTCACAGATACAACAGGCTGCAATGGGACACAGCGTGGGTACACATTGCACAACGGCCGGCTGTTTTCTCGCCCTCCTCCTGGTGTCTATAGTCTCTGCAGGTACGTATAGCTCTCTATACAGAATATTCCTATCCTTACTGCACCATACTGGGGGTTTTCCTGCTGCCTTTAGCCTTCTACTAAAGTCCTATAGGTTGATGAACCTTGTAGCCATATGCAAAAGTTTGGGACCGCCCCCCCCCCCCGTCATATTACATTTCATTAGTTTTCAAAGTAAAATGTATTTAGTGTTACCTCTGCAGGAAGCAAACAATTTTCTGCAAATTTTAAGTAACTCTAAACAATATCCTTTTCCAAAAATAATCCATACACATCCACTATGTAATGGGCCTGTGATCTATTTTTCATGAAATAGTTTTTTTACCGTGCATTATTTTCTCCTTATAATGCAATCCATGAGCTCCAGAACCTCTCCTTTCCCCCTCACTTTAATTTGTTTGGAACAGTGAATGTTAGCTGCAGTCATGTGCACTGCTCTGTACACTGTAAGGGGGAATCCTGCAGACTCTGATTTGAAGGGGAATTAGCTGGACTCTGATGTGAGAACTCTGTGGACTGTGATATAGATGGGAACTCTGTGGACTGTGATATAGGTGGGAACTCTGTGGACTGTGATATAGAGGAGAACACTGAGGACTATGATGTACAGATGAACGTTGAGGACTCTGATGTAATGGGGAAATCTGGGGAGGCTTGTGTAAAGGTGTCGGGGGGGGGGGGGGGGCTCTGGTGACCAGAGACTCCCTTACATCAGAGTTTCCCTTTACACCAGAGTCCACAGTATTCCTCTTTACTACATCAGGGTCTCAGAGTTCTCCTTCACTCTGCGGACTATGATGTAAAGGTGAACATTGAGGACTCTGATGTAATGGGGAAAGGATTCTGGGGAGGCTTGTGTAAAGGTGTCGGGTCGGGGGGGGGGGGGGGGCTCTGGTGACCAGAGACTCCCTTACATCAGAGTTTCCCTCTACACCAGAGTCCACAGTATTCCTCTTTACTACATCAGGGTCCTCAGAGTTCTCCTTCACTCTGTGGACTATGATGTAAAGGTGAACATTGAGGACTCTGATGTAATGGGGAAACAATATCCTTTTCCAAAAATAATCCATACACATCCACTATGTAATGGGCCTGTGATCTATTTTTCATGAAATAGTTTTTTACCGTGCATTATTTTTTCCTTATAATGCAATCCATGAGCTCCAGAACCTCTCCTTTCCCCCTCACTTTAATTTGTTTGGAACAGTGAATGTTAGCTGCAGTCATGTGCACTGCTCTGTACACTGTAAGGGGGAATCCTGCAGACTCTGATTTGAAGGGGAATTAGCTGGACTCTGATGTGAGAACTCTGTGGCCTGTGATATAGATGGGAACTCTGTGGACTGTGATATAGGTGGGAACTCTGTGGACTGTGATATAGAGGAGAACACTGAGGACTATGATGTACAGATGAACGTTGAGGACTCTGATGTAATGGGGAAATCTGGGGAGGCTTGTGTAAAGGTGGTGGTGGGGGCCCTGGTGACCAGAGACTCCCTTACATCAGAGTTTCCCTTTACACCAGAGTCCACAGTATTCCTCTTTACTACATCAGAGTCCACAGTGTTCCCTTTTACATCACTGTAAAGGGGAACCCTGCAGACTATGATGTTAGGGAGAACCTCATAGACTCTGATGTAAGGGAGGATTCTGTTGGCTCTGATGTAACGGGGAAACTCTGTGGACTCTGATGTAAGGGGGAAATCTGGGGAATCTTGTGTAAGGAGGAAGTCTTATGTAAGGGGGGACTCTTGGAATCCTGATGTAAGGGGGAATGCCGGGGACTTTGATATCCTTACTGCTGCACTCGATATTTTGTTTTGTATATTACTTACTCCTGGCCCTGCACTTTATAAATCAGGTTGTACATTATATAGTCCTGACCAAGGTGTTCATTGTGCTGGTTTTAAGGTAGGCTCAGTCAGTCCTTTTTGTGTGTATGAGAGCATATGCAATAGAAAGGTTTATAATTTTTTTTTTTTAAAAATGATCCTTTGTCCTGAAGTTTATTTGTGTCTGTGAGCCTGTCAGTTGTGGTACAGTAATAAGGAGTCTTTTGTGGGCACAAGGACTGTTATATGTGTGCCCGTATATAGTGACTAGGCACAGATTCTGTTTAATGGTCCCCCTTTAAGCCACTCCCACTGTTAGCCAAAATCCGGTCATGCATACTGATCGCCGTGCTACACATGCTGCAGAGCATATTTTTCTGTTTCATCCCAGGGTGCCCAGGTCTTTCATCATCCTAGTCATGTTCACATTTTATCACTGTGTTTAGAATTCGTCATTATAAAGCCAGCAGATTACTTGTTCTGAGTATTGGTAATGTTTACATATTCATTTATATTGCTTAAATATTAATTGTCATAGTTCATAATAGGAGTTTCTCTCATACTTAAGGATGTCAGTAAAAAAATGTGCTCCGTCACTGTTTTGTCAGTAAAACAAGTTGCAGGAAGTTGCCAACCCTGGTGCTCTATACTCAATGTCCTGCCTCCAGTAACTCAGTCCCTGCTAGCAGTGTAAACAATGGGCAGTGCCCTCTCCCCAGTCCCTGTGGTGTTGCCGTGATCTCTCACTGTAGAAAGAGGGGTCCCCTAAGTCTCTCCACAGAATGCTTCCAGAGATTCAGCAGTGGGAAGTAGAGGGTGAGAGGATCCTCTGTCTCCCTACGGCAATAGTGTAGTAGAGATGCGATCGTCTGTGCTGTGCTGCCTTGGGTGTCTCCACTGGTCTGGCCTCTCAGCAGTTTTCTCAGTATGCAGCAGATATACTCTCATCGGCTCCCTCGGCGCCAAGGGGAAAGTCTTAGAGCAGTCTGTGAAAAACTATTCCACCACTCCCTCTCTGCCTCAGTGTTCTATGGGAATTGTAAAGGGTCCATGAGTCCCATTGCATAGTTGCTGTTCCAGACTCTAAATCCCATGATCCTCACTGTTCTGCATAGGATCCCATAGTCTTTTCTGGCTGTAGTTCTCCCTTTGCTGACTGGAGGGGATAGTGCAACCAGGGGCGGACTGACAACTCATGGGGCCCCCAGGCAGTAAGAGATAATGGGCCCCCTGTTCCCCCACCTACACTCAAGCCACACACACACACACCCTACCTACATATTGCAGCTCAGCTGCATAGAAGGGGCATTTAAATATTTACTGCAGCAAAGTCTGCATGAATGTTCCCGACTTCTTTCTGTAGAAGCCACTGGGCACTTCCAGGTTTAAAGATGGCTACCATGTGGGGGAAGGGGAAGTGAAAGAGAGAGGGGAGTGAGAGGGTGAAAAAGAGGAGGGGTGTGAGAGAGAGAGAGAGGAGGAGAGAGAGAGAGAGGAGGAGGAGGAGGAGAGAGAGGAGGAGGAGGAGTGAGAGAGAGGAGGAGTGTTTTAAATTGCGCTAAAAATTGGGCATGGCTTAAAAGGGGTGTGGTTAAATAGTGTCTGAGATGACTTATATAGTGCAGAATGAGGTAATGTTAAATAGGGAATGTACAGTGTGGTGCAGGGGCGGACTGACAACTCATGGGGCCCCTGGGCAATAGGAGATCATGGGGCCCCTGTGTCATTGCCCACACTCAAGCCACACCCAAAAAAGCCTATGAAAGGTATCAGGGGCATCTCATGGGGCCCCCTACTGACCCCGGGCCCTCGGGCAGTGCCCAAGTTCCCAAATGGTCAGTCCGCCCCTGGTGTGGTGTGTATGACAGCGCGTAGTATGTACAGGGAGAGAAGGCTGTGGATCGTATGTGTAGGATGGTGTCAGTAGGTGGTGTCAGTAGTTCTTCATTTTTATAAGTATTATTTTATTTTTTTTTACAATTTTATGGTTTTTTTTTTTACAAAATGAATGTTTTTTATTATTTTTTTCAAAATGCTTTTGGGTGGCCAGTGGATGGTGTTAGTAGAGCAATGGTGTGGGTGTCAGAATTTTTCAATTTTCACTATCTAATTTTTAATTATTTATTTCTGTATTATTTTTTTTCACAATGATATTGTGGGGGCAGTGGACAGTGTCAGTAGGGAGTGAACAGGGAGGACTAGTATATGTTGGGCTTATTAGATTGGGATGAATAAACAGAACCTGTACCCCCTTATATCGGAAGGAAGGGACTGGATGGAGGGAAGGAAAGAAGAAAGAAAAAGGAGGAGGGAATGGATGGAGGAAGGAAGGGGAGGGTAGCAAGGATGGGTGGGAGGAAAGAATGAAAGGAGAGGATGGAGGAAGGAAGGGAAGGAAGAATAGGGAGGGAGGGAATGGATGGAGGAAGGAAGGAATGAAGAAAAAAAATAAAATGGATGGAGGAAGGAATGAAGTAAAAGGAAGGGAGGGAGGAAGGGGGGGAGGAAGGAAGGAATAAAAAGGAAGAGAGGGAATGAAGAAAGAGGAGAGGAAGGGAAGGAAGGGAGGGGTGGGAGGAAAGAATGAAGGGAATGGATGGAGGAAGGAAGGAAGGAAGGAAGGAAGGAAGGAAGGAAAGAAAATGAATGGAGGAAGGAATGAAAGAAAAGGAGGGAAGGGAGGAAGTTAGGGAGTGAGGAAGGGAATGGATGGAGGAAGAAAGGGGAGGGAAGGAAGAAAGGAAGGAAAGAAGAATGGGAGGGAATAGAAGGAAGGAAGGAAGGAAGGAAGGAAGGAAGGAAGGAAGGAAAAAGGAGGGAGGGAATGAATGGAGGAAGAAAGGAAGAGTGGGAGGAAAAAGAATGAGGGGAGGGGATGGAGTAAGGAGGAAAAGCGAGGGAATGGATGGAGGAAGGCAGGAAGGAAGGAAGGAAAGAAAGAAAATGGAAGGAAGGAAGGAGGGGAGGGGAGGGAGGGAAAGGATGAAGGGAGGAAATGGAGGAAGGAAGGAAGGAAGGAAGGAAGGAAGGAAGGGAGGAGGAGGAAGGAATGAGGGAAGGGAGGGAAGGAAGTAATAAGAGGGAGGGAATGGATGGAGGAAGGAAGGAATAAGGAGGGTGAGAAAAGGAGGAAGGAAGGAATATAGGAAGGGAAAGGAAGGAAGGGAGGAAGGAAGGAAATGAAAAGGTGGGGAAAGAGAAAAGGAGGGAGGAAAAAGTGAAGGAAGGGAGGGAGAAAAGGGAGGGAATGGATGGAGGGAAGGGATGAAGGAAGGGGAGGGGAATGGATGGAGGAGGGGATGAAGGAAGGGGGGAGGGAAAGAAGGAAGAAAAGAGGGGAGGTAGGAAGGAATATAAGGGAGGGAATGGATGGAGGAAGGGATGAAGGAAGGGGGAGAGAAAGGAAGGAAGGAAGGAAGGAAGGAAGGAAGGAAGGAAGGAAGGAAAGGGAATGGAAAGAAAGGAAGGAAGGGAAGGAAGGGAAGGGAGGTAAGGGAGGGAATGGATGGAAGAAGGAAGGAAATGGATGGAGGAAAGAATGAAGGAAAGGGAGGGAAAAGGAAGGAGGGGAGGGAGGAAGGAAGGAAGGAAAGAAGAAAAGGGAGAGAATAGATGGAGGGAGGGAAAATGGGAGGGAAGGAAAGAAGGGGAGGAGGGAAGGAAGGGAGGGAGGAAGGAAGAAAAAGGAGGAAGGAAAGAATGAAGGGAGGGGATGGAGGAATGAAGGGAAGGAAGAAAAGGGTGGGAGGGAATGGATGGATGAAGGAAGAAAGGAAATGAAGGGGAAGAAGATGGATGGATGGAAGTAATGAAGGTAAAGGAGGAAGGAAGGAAGGAAGGGGGGGAGGAGGGAAGGAAATGAAAGGAGGGAGGGAGGAAGGAAGGAAATGAAAGGAGGGGAGGGAGGAAAGAATGAAGCAGAAGGAAGAGGGAAAGAAGAAGGAGGGGAGAATGAATGAATGAAGGAAAGAAGGTAGTGGATGGAGGAAGGGGAGGGAAGGAGGGAAGGGAAAAGGGAAGGAAGAAGAAAAAAGGGAATGGATAGAGAAAGAAAGGAAGGAAGGGGAAGAATGGAGGGAGGAAGGAAGGAGGGAGAAGGATGGATGGAGGAAAGAATGAAGGAAGGATGGGAGGGAGGAAGGAAGAAGGAAGGAAATTGAAGGAGGGGAGGGAGGAAAGGAAGGAAGGAAGGAAGGATGGAAAGGAGGGGGGGGGGGGGGAAGAATGAAGGGGGAGGGGATAGAGGAAGGAAGGAATGAAGGGAGAAAGGAAGGAAGGATTGGAGGAAGGGGAAAAGAAGGAAGGAATGATTGAAGGTTTGAGGAGGGGAGGGGGAAGAATGAAGGGAGGGGATGGAGGAAGGAAGGGAAGGGGGGAAAAGGAGGGAAGGATGGAGGAGGAAGGAAGGAAGGAAAGAAAAGGATGGACAAAGTAATGAAGGTAAAGGAAAGGGAGGGAATGGATGGAGGAAGGAAGGGAGGAAGGAAGGAAGGAGGGGAGGGAGGGGAGGAAGGAAATGAAGGAAAGGAGGGGTTAGAAGGAAAGGATGAAGGGAGGGAGAGGAGGAAGGAAGGAAGGGAGGGGATGGAGGAAGGAAGGAAATGGATGGAGGAAGGAATGAAGGGAAGGAGGGAAGGAAGGGAAAAGGGAGGGAGGAAGGAAGGAAGGAAAGAAGGGAAGGAAGAAGTAAGAAGAGGGAGGGAATGGATGGAGGAAGGAAGGAATGAAGGAGGGGTGAGGGAAGGAGGAAGGAAGGAATAATGGAAGGGAGAGGGAAGGAGAGGAAGGAAGGAAGGAATGAAAGGAGGGGAAAGAGAGAAAGGGAGGGAGGAAAGAATGAAGGGAGGGAGGGAGGGAGAAAAGGGAGGGAATGGATGGAGGAAGGGATGAAGGAAGGAAGGGAAAGAAGGAAAGAAAGGAAGGAGGGGAGGGAGGAAGGAAGAAAAGGGGAGGGAATGGATGGAGAAGAGGATGAAGGAAGGGGAGGGAAAGAAGGAAGGAAGGAGGGGAGGGAGGAAGGAAGAAAAGAAATGGGAATGGAGAAAGAAGGAAGGAAGGGAAGGAAGAAAAGGGAGGGAGGGAATGTATGGAAGAAGGAAGGAAATGGATGGAGGAAAGATGAAGGATGAAGGAAAGGGAGGAAGGAAGGGGAGGGGAGGGAGGAAGGAAGAGGAAAGAAGAAAAGGGAGGAATAGATGGAGGGAGGAAAAAAAATGGGAGAAGGAAGGAAGGAAAAAAGGAGGAAGGGACTGGATGGAGGAAGGAAGGAAGGAAGGAAGGAAGGAAGGGAAGAAGGAAGGGGGAGGAGGAGAAGAATGAAGGGAGGGGATGGAGGAATGAAGGGAAGGAAGGAAGGGTGGGAGGGAATGGATGGAGGAAGGAAGGAAATGAAGAGGAGGGGAGGGAGGAAGAATGAAGCTGAAGGAATGAAGGAAGGAAGGAAGGAAGGAAGGAAGGAAGGAAGGAAGAGAAGGAAAGGATGAGGGAGGGAATGAAGAAGGAAAGAAGGAAGGGAGGAGGAAAGGGGGAGGGAAGGAAGGAAGGAAGGAGGGGGAGGGAGGGAAAAAGGAAGGAAGAAAAGGGAATGGATAGAGGAGGAAGAAGGGGGGAGAGGGAATGGAGGAAGGAAGGAAATGGATGGAGGAAAGAATGAAGGAAGGATGGGAGGGAGGGAGGAAGGAAGGAAGGAAGATGAAAGGGAAGGGAGGGAGGAAGGAAGGAAATGAAATGGAGGGGATGGGAGGAGAAGAAAGAAGGGAGGGGATGGAGAATGAAGAAGAAGAAGGAGAGGAGGGGGGAGGAGGAGGGATAGGAGGAAGGAAGGAAATGAAAAAGGGGAGGGAGAAAGAATGAAGCTGGAGGAAGGAAGGAAGGAAGAAGGAAGGAAGAAGAAAAATGAGGGAGGGAATGAATGAAGGAAAGAAGGAATGGATGGAGGAAGGGGAGGGAAGGAAGGAAGGAAGGAGGGGAGGGAGGGGGAAAGAAAAAGGAAGAAGAAAAGGGAATGGATAGAGAAAGGAAGGGGGGGGAGGGAATGGAAGGAAGGAAGGGAAATGGATGGAGGAAAGAATGAAGGAAGGATGGGAGGGAGGGAGGAAGGAAGGAAATGAAAGGAGGGGTGGGAGGCAGGAAGGAAGGAAATGAAAGGAGGGGAGGGAGGAAAGAATGAAGGAAGGGGATAGAGGAAGGAATGAAGGGGAGGGAGGGGAGAAAAGGAAAAGGAAGGATTGGAGTAAGGGGGAAAGAAGGAAGGAATGATTGAAGGATAAAGAGGGAGGGAAGGAAAAAATTGAAGGGAGGGGATAGAGGAAGGAATGAAGGTAAGGAAGAAAAGAAAGGGAGGGAATGGAGGAAGGAAGGAAAGAAGAAAATGGATGGAGGAAGGAATGAAGGAAGGGGAGGGAAGGAAGGAGGGGAGGGAGGAAGAAGAAAAAAAGGAGGGATGATATTAAGGAAAGAAGGAAATAAGGGGAGGGAGGGAGAGCAAAAGGAAGGAAGGGAGAGAGGGAAGCAAGGAAAAAGAATGAAGGGAGGGGATAGAGGAAGGAAGAAAAGGGAGGAGAGGGAATGGATGAAGGAAGGAAGGAAAGAAGGGAGGGAAGGAAGAAAAGGGAGGGGAGGAATGGATGGAGGAAGGAAGGAAGGAATGAAGGAGGGGGTGGGAAGGAGGATGGAAGGGAAGAAGGAAGGAAGGAATGAAGGAAATAAAAGGAGGGATGGAAGGAAAGAATGAAAGGTGGGGATTGAGGAAAGAATGAAGGGAGGGGATGGAGGAAGGAAGAAAAGGGAGGGAATGGATGGAGGAAGGAAGGAATGGATGGGAGAGAGGGAGGGAGAGAGAGGGAGGGAGAGAGAGAGAGAGAGAAGGGAGGGAGAGAGGGAGGGTGGGAGAGAGGGAGGGAGAGAGAGAGGGGAGAGAGGGGGAGAGGGGAGAGAGAGGGAGGGAGAGAGAGAGGGAGGGTGGGAGAGAGAGGGGGAGAGGGGGAGGGAGAGGGGGGGGGGGGAGAGAGAGAGAGAGAAGGGAGAGGGGGAGGGAGGGAGAGAGAGAGAGAGGGGTAGGGAGAGGGAAAGGGAGAGGAAATAAAGGGAATAAAGGAAATTAAAGGGGGGATGGGAGGAAATAATGAAAGTCTCTTCATCTCCATAACATAAGGAGATGTGGATTCTGTAGTCCAATAGCGGAGAACACAGGTAGAACTGACAACACTGCTTGGCATTGATTGTAGCAGAGGCAGCTTTGTCATCCCGGAACAGGAAGTTAATTGCGTACTAGATTTCTGGTGGGATCATTAGGTATTGTTCAGCATTTTTAAAGAGACAAAACACAGGGAAATGTGCAAGTATTGGAGAAATGTATTGAAAATGTTTAAAATTTTTAAAATTCTAATTTTAGCTTTTTTAAATCTGCCCAGGCAGTTTAAATATGCCTTTATGCTTTGCAATTGAGTATTGTTGTAATAACCTTACACTGTAATGACCTAATTTTTCTTGGTGTTTTTCACAGCAAGTGAAGACCAGGTGCAGTGCCCACCAGACACTGGGTACCCAGGTGGGCTCTCGCATCTTACCAACGGCCTGAATGTGGGAAGCGTTGCCAAATTCCTGTGTCCTACAGGGGAATATGCGTGGCCTGTGAGCAGCCGGACATGCCAAGCCAGTGGGAAGTGGAGCATAATGAAATCTAGCACTGGAAGGAGGATAACCAGGATCTCCTGTAAAAGTGAGGGATGCGATGGACAATTTTTTAATGGAGAGGCTTATGTTTGGGATGGTCACTGACATTTACTGGAATGCTAACAAGATCATACTAGTCATATACTGTCGATGGAAGTAGACTTTTAATATGATTGTTAATGAGCATATACGTGGAATAGTAATAGGCACATACAGTAGGTAGAATGGTAATTGACAACTTAAATTCACCCTGTCAACATAGGATCACTTGTATCCAAAAGCATTGAAAAGGAAATATTTTTCCAACAGCCTTGTGTCTTGAAACTCTGCTGCTTCAGGGCCCCTTGGCCACTGCAAATATTCTGCAGCTCCAGGTGTGTGGAATACCTTCTGCTCTGTTGCATGCAGTGGTTCCTCCCACTAGATTGTATAGCACTACAGGTCATACAAGCTGGTGGGAAGAACTACTGTGTTCAATAGGGAAAACAGGTATTCAGCTCACCCAACTGACTGAATACTTGCTGCTGTTGGGGAGCAGCAAAACAATGGCAACTGGAAAGGTAAGTATATATCCCTCTGATTTAGCAGGTATGGTTTGACATACAAGTCACCCTGTGCTGACAGGGTCTCTTTAAAAAGAACCAGTCATGATGGGACAATCTAAATATTCTATAGGCTTAGTTGATGGCAGAGGTCAAAAGAGAATGGCCAGACTTGTTTGAACTGACAGAAAGGCTACCAATACTCAGATAACTATTCTACAGGTGTGGGGTGCAAAAAAGCCTCTCAGAATGCACAAGTTGATGCCTACAGCTCATCCGCACCCCTTCGATATATCCTCAGATGGGGGGGGGCATGATATAGAGTCTCCAATATACCCTGAGGAGTGGAGCAAAGCCTGGTCCAGCGTAGTCAAATGCTCCTTCAGTACTGTCAATTTGGAGGCGGTAAAGTCCTTCTCCGCTGGTACTGAGTTCCAAACCGTAGTGTACACATCATATAGAGATAATTGTTTCTGGGGCTGTGGCCAGTGCGGAGACAAGATCCACATCTGGTGGTCCTGCCCCCGCCTGGTGGGGTTCTGGTCAAGGATTTTTGGCTTCCTATTTAAATGTTTTCATGTACCTTTCCACAAGGATGCTAGACATGCACTCCTCCCCTGCCCAATCCTGGGCCTCTTTTCTTGTCAGCAAAAATTGGCTGCTTTTTATAGCCACTAAACTTGCAATAGCGAGAGCTTGGAAAAAACCCTCAGTCCAGTTTGTAGAGGTGAAGAGCATCCTGACTAACCGAATGATTCATGGAAAGATGACCAGCATCTTCTATGACTCCCACTCTAAATTCCTCAAAGTTTGGGCTCCGTGGTGGTTGTATGCTCTTCCAACCTTGCACCTGAATAGCCTGGGTGCTCCTGGCTAATGCGGTGTCTTCTTCAGCCTGCAGGAACTTTCTATCCTCGACTTGTCTTACTCTTCCTATGTTTCTCCTGCTCATCTTTTCTTTGTCTTCAGCCCTCCCTTCCCCCACGCCTACTTTTAGATAATGATCCACCCACGCCCTCCCCCTGTACCCAGCCCTTGGTCCCGTTGACTCAGACATCTATTGTTACCTTCGGTCCGGCTGGACAGGTGGAGTTGTTTCGCAATCTCTTGTGCTCAAAATTTTAAGTAACAATTCCGTGATCACTTTGTTGCTCTTTTGGTCATATTCCCTGCATGAGAATTATTTGGTATGCATGTTTTTTTTGTTATGCTTCTTTTTTTCAATAAAAAATATTGTACCGGAATGCACGAGTTAAACATTGAGGTGGACAGGCTACAATAGCAAACAAACAGGTCAGGTTCCACTTGGCAACCAAGAACAGAACTGTGAGTCTGAGATGGGCACAGGCACAGTCTGGTCTGATGAAACCTGATTTCTATTGGGGCGTACAGATGGTAGTGTCAGAATTTGGCCTCAGCAGCATAGATTCATGGGCCTAACCTGCCTTGTGTCAAGTCTAGACTGGTGGTATTATGGTGTGGGAAATGTTTTCTTGGATAGAAACAATTAGAAATGGGTGGTCGAGGGTGACCTCTCTGGAAATAGTCAAACATACAAATATGTAAAATATCAGGAAGTTTATTTACAAAATTCTCATTAAAAAAGGGTTTTACAATCATTATGAATCATATGACCATATACACGGCAAAAACTTGATATATTTTTAAAACTAGTAATGTCATAGGTTATACTGTCCACGTGTTTCGCGGTCAGAAATCACTTCTTCAAGGCCTCATGTTTCCATATGACATATTAAATATGTAATTTTTCAGTTGATTAGAAACAAGGAGTGGGCACAAAATAAACACATAAAGGAGGGCCGTCACATCTGTCCAGTGTTTAGCATATGTGTTGATATGAAAAGGAGGGCCATGCTACTTCTAACAACTGCTGGATATTTAACTGGAACATTTTTGAGGAGATTTCCCTGTATTACATCTATCATCATTTGATATTCGTTGGAATATTGAGGGATGTGTCATATCGATTTGGAAGATTACAGTCTCTCATTTGATCCATTGCTATACGATTGTTTGATGGCATTTGGGGATTTGACCCTCTTCCTGATGTAGATTGGGATTTCCTGATTGGTTTTAAGTTATATGGAATATGTTCACTTCTTATTGGTTTCCAGTGGCCTCCATGCAGCCCAGACAGATGTGACGGCCCTCCTTTATGTGTTTCGTGCCCACTCCTTGTTTCTAATCAACCAAAATCGTACATATTTAATAAATATGGAAATATGAGGTCCTGATGTTTCTGGCTGTGACATGCGTTGACAATGTAATTTATGACATTACAGATTTTATAAAATATATAAAGTTTTTTGCTGTGTATATGGTCATATGATTCATATGGATTGTAAACCCTTTTTGTGTGTGGGTATATACTGTATTTTTTATAAGATTTTGTTAATAAACGTCTTGATATTTTACATATTTGCATTTTTGACTATTTACAGAGAAATATGGAAAATATTTTTTGAGTTGGTGACCTACCGGAAAGTTTCTTGATTCCTTTCACATATATACATATCTAGATGCGGCTAAGTGCGTTTAAGAGCGTTTGCAATTTTTTTTTAACTCTTCCAGTTCCCGATGCTGTCCAGAGCCTTTTTTCATCATGAAAAATGCATCAAAACGTTTTCAAGGTACTCAAATATACAAAACACTGAACACACAGGATGTTCCTACCAAGCTTGTCACATTGTGATGACCAATTCACACCTCAGACCTCTCCCACCCTTGGAAAAAAAAAGATATGTTAATGAGCATTCACACTTCAAATTCCTCATGAAGACCCCTGCCGGGTGGCCTTAATGACTCCCTCCACCAGACACCTTCCCACCCTTGGAAACAAAAGAAATGTTAATGAGCAACTCACACCTAAGCAAATCTCAACACATACTGCTATCTCTGCTTCTACTCTCTGTATTTCTCTGAAACAGTCTGAAATAGTTAATAATTTACAACTTTTCAGTGCATTCTGGGCATTTGGGAGGTTCTCCTGTGCTTATCTTTAAAAAAACGCTTCTAAACGCAAACGCGCATAAACACGTTATGCAAACGTGGCTAAACAGACATTTTGAACCTACATTTTCCAGCAGTCAGTTTCCATCATTCAGAAGTGTCCCGTGTACATAGGGCCTTAAAGTCACAATTTAGTATATTGTAGTGTTCCTAATAAAGTGTATGGTGAGTTTGTATCATTAGCTGCCTGGAAGGTTAGGTTGTTTTAGACTGCCTTTACAACTGTATATTTTTCTATATCTTCAGAAATGAGATGTCCAGATGTCAGCATATTTGAAAATGGAGAGTACTTCCCAGGGGCCCTTTCCTGGTAGGGACCAATATCACCTTTGTCTGTAACGATGGCTACACTCCTCGGGGATCCATGGAAAGAACCTGTAGAAGAAATGCGAAGTGGAGTGGAGAAATGGCAGTGTGCGATGATGGAGGTAAGTACAGGGGGGTAAACATTGGCCATTGAGCTGGATATGGGAAAGCAATATAAACAGTAGTCTTTAGTGCAGAAGCAGAGGAAGTCAAATACTGAAGGATGGGTAGATAGAACGGCTGAGAAAACACATATTCAAATTTTTGTATTTATTTTACTTTATTGATACTACTCTTATAGAGATAACGAATTCAATAGATTATCAGGAACTGGTCACATACTGTAGGTCCCTGCCCCCAAGTGAGGCCCACAGTCTCTAAAGTCCCTACTACAGATACAAATAAACTAAGAGAATTTTGTGGTGAAGGCCAATGAAATTTGGGTCAGAGGAGATATTGTAGTGTGCACAAACCAAAATACAACATCAATAATAAGAACTCAACCCAGACCCCAATCTGACCACAATTTGACAGGAAAAGCTAACTCCTTAGCCACTTTACTGAGATGTGGCTTTGTATTAAAATAATAGTATTCTTGCTTTCCCATTTCCCAAACCTTTTGTCCTGTAAGCTGCCTAGCCTCCTCTTACTTTCCATAACTGTCAAACCTAGTGACTCCACAGCAGCCTTTAGACCTTGGAGCGTAATGTATGGGGGGTGTTGCTAAACACCTGTCTTGCCTGTTACAGTGACAGGATAAGGAAAGGATAGCCGACTAGCATTCATGTCCTGCTGCAGGCATTAGCAATGTTTGCAGCCTTCTGAATCATTTATGCCCCTTTCCATCCGCCTTGTCTTTCTTCCCTGGGTAATATGACCACCAGTTGTCAAGGGATCCTCTCGATCCCCGCCGCGATGGTCCCCGGCGCGCAGGCGCAGTGTGCCGCCCTGTGCAGGGACTCAAGCACTAGGTCCGGGCCGGCCGCGGCGTTCGAGTTCGCCGCATATTGCGCAGTAGTATTAGTAGAAGCCGCGGCCGCCCGCTGAGCACCAATGGCAGCGCAGGGCGGGATATTTAAACGACCTCTGAGCTGTCATTCAGTGCTTCTGGTCTTACCTGTATCCTGTATCTTGCGAACCTGTGTATTGTAAGTTGCTGACCCGGATTGTACCTGACCTTGCTGTATTTCTCCTGCCCTGACCCTTGCTTTGCCTGACCTCTCTCCTGAATGGCCCCTTTTGGATTTGACCTGCTGTTGCTGACCTGGCGTGTGGACACGACCATTCTATGCCGCTGCCTTGTACCTTGCCATCCTCTCTGTTACGACCCGCGCCCGTCTGACCTTGCTCATCATGCATCCATCCCGTGCAGTGGGGTCTGCTGACCTCCTCATATCAGACTCTTCCCCGTGGGAGCCCTTGGCGCATACCACACATACCACTCCACTGGACGGTCGCACCCAGTAGCCACGACTGACCTGGTGCTCAGGATGGGGGCTCCAAGTCCATCCCCACCATCAGGGGCCCTGGTGAACAAGCACCCTGGGACTTAGACTCCGTGCGCTGTTGGGGACAGCGCCTATTCAGTGGAGTGCTTTTAGTGGTACCGCCAGGGAGGGCGGTCCCCTTACAGTACCAGAAGGCCAATGAACTGAGTCTAGAGGAGGGCCCTCGCCGCTTGAGGAGATCTGCAGGCACCTGTTATAACTTGACACAGGCCGTATCGGCCCTGCAGGACAGATGTCAGGCAGATTGCGAATCACTTCCAGACCTGCACTAATATATCCGTTTTCTGCCCACAGAGCCGCGGTCCCCGCACCCCCGGCCGTAGCAAGCCCCTGTGCCGGTTTCTGGGGCATCCGCCCCACTCCCGGCAGCCGAAACCCCGAGTAGTGTACCCTTACCGGAACGTTTTCTCGGGGACCGCACAGCTTCATGGTCATTCCGTGAGTCCTGTCTTCTCTATTTTGAGTTTGCAACCACGAACTCTTGTGACTGAATCCGTGAAGGTGGGGTTCGTCATCTCCCTCCTGCAGGGTGAACCCCAAGGACTTGGGGCCCACCGACGCGGGGAAAAAATGAACCCTCCACCTCAGTTCGGTTGACATTTATTTGACGCAATGGCATCCTATACATGACCACGGCGGGCAGCTTCTGCTGAAGCTACTTTGTTACACCTCCGGCAAGGCCGCCGAGCGGTCGGAGGAGTAACGCGTCTAATTTTAGGCGCCTGGATGGGGGAACACACGCTGGAACGATGTTTGTCTCTCCTGCATCAGTTCCGTATAGGCCCTATCAGAATGCCTGAAAGATGAGCTCGCCCGGGTGGAGGTGCCTGAGACATTTAGAGGACTTAATTGCACTGACTATTAAGATTGACCGTAGACTGCGGGAACGCAGGTTTGAAGGTCCGGCCAGGGTCATGGAAATCCCTGGGGTCATTTCAAGGTCCCAGTCAGCACCTAGGCCAAACATCCAGACGCGGCCCCCTGGAGGTAAATTTCCCGAACCTAAGCAATTCGGCCTTTGGGACGGCCTTTTAAAATTTTCTCCAAGGAAATCAGCGCCCGACGAACCCGAAACCTGGTTTTTCCTCTTAAATTTGGTGGGAAACTGGGTTCAAAAATGGTAAAAATTTCCTGCCCGGGGGAAAAAAATTTAGTAAAGGGGCACCTCTTTCCCCCTTGTCCATTGGGGAATGTTAGTTTCCCTCCCAATACTTTAAAATGGGCCCCCCTTTTCCCTTTTACTTTCCCGGGAAAAGGGCCGTGGAAGTAAAAAAAGGCCATAGTTTATTCGGGGGGCATGCAGCTGCTTCTGGACCCTTAAATTTTTGGGTCACCACAGGGGATTCCCTCCAATTGAAACAGAAGGGGGTTTAATATTTAATTTTTTCCCACGGGTTTCCCCCCGGATAAAAACAGGGGGATTAAAACCCAAAACCCCCTCCATCGCCAAATGTCATTTCCGGCCCGCCCCAGGAACTTTCCCGCCCGGATGCTATAAAACTTTCAAAACCCCCCTTCCCATCATTTTGGGGGTTCCCATTGGTTACGGGCCCATAACCCCCCCAAAATTTATTGGGGGGAAAAAGGGGAAATTTTTGTTCCCTTCTCCATTAAAATGTCCGGGGGATACTGGGCCCCACTTTCGGGCCCCCCGGGGGCCCCCAAAAACCCCCTGTGCCTGAGGGGGAAAACCCCCAAATTAAAAAAAGGTAAAACCCCGGCACCTACCTGAGTTTCAAAATGTGTTCAAACAAGCGGGGAGCTAAAAACTCTCCCCCCCCCCCCCGCCCTTAAGATTTTTGGGTTTCCCCCTTTTACCTGGGTTTCCCGGTTCAAAAAATTCCTTTTGGGGGCGAATTCCCCCTTTCCCCCTTTTTAAGCTCGAATTGGGGGGCCCCGAAGGGAAATATCGGGGGACAAAACCTTTTCCCAAAAAAGGGGGGTTTTAAAACCCCCCCCCTTTCCCCTTCCCCCCCGGCGGGGCGTGAAATTTTCTTTGTTGAAAAAAAGGACAAAACCTTGAGGCCGTGTAATCGATTACATGGAGTTGGAACAGGGTCACATAAAGACCTACCCACTAACCGTTTGTACCAGAGTTATTCAAAGTTTTAAAAAAGAACAGCAATGGTTTTACAAAGCTGGATTGAGGGGAGCATACAACTTGTGTTCGCATAAGGGAGGGGACAGGTGGAAGACGGCCTTGCCGCACACTCGTTCGGCCAATTTGAATATTTGGTCATGGCCGTTCGGGTTGTGTAATGCTCCGGCCACTTTTCAACACTTTGGTGGGAAGGATATTTTTAGGGACACTTCTGGATGTCTTTGTTATCGTCTATTTAGGCGACATTTTGATTTTCTCCCCTTCCCTTGGGGTAACACAGATACAGTAGCGAGGGTAATTGGGGGGGGTTTGGGGGCAGCATGGGTTGTACCCAAGGCAAGAAAAGTTGTTTTTTGAACAATTTCCCGCATTACCTTTTTTTGGGCCCAATTTTCTCCAAACCGCGGGGGCGCGATGGATCCCCCGAAATCCGCTGCAAAACGGGGGTTGGGGCCGAAACCCACGACAGGAAACGTCCAAAAATTTAAAATTGGGGTTTTTCAAATTTTTTTTCCCCAAAAATTATCAAAACTTTTTCAAAGGGGCGTCCCCCCCCATTACCAGCTAACCAAGCGGGGAAACCCCAGATGGAAAACCAAACCAGGAAGCTTTTTTAAGCCTTGAAGAAAATTGTTTTCCCCCCCGGCAACCCAAAATTTTGGGGCAACCCCCCAAAGCCGCCCCTTCCCCACATTTCCCGGGGGGGGAAAGGTGCATCGGAGAAAAAGGGGGGGGGAGGGCCATCCTTTTCCCAGCGGAAAGGCCCCCAAGGGAAATTTCTCCCATCCTTTTCATTCTTTTTCACGGGGAAACTTCCCCCCAGAGAAAAATTAAGATATCGGTGGGTCGAAGCTACCCGGCGAAACAAAACGGGGAATTTGAGGAAAAAAAGGAGGGACCTGCTGGGGGAAAGGGGCTGTCACCCCAAACTTAATATTTACTGATCCCAAAAACCTAGAAAATTCTGAAACCGGGCCCAAGCGTCTTAAACCCCCCGACAGGCAAGAAGGGGACTATTTTTTCCTTTTTTAAATTCAACTTCCCACATTAAAGTCCGCCTTTGGGTCAAAAACACTAAGCCCGAAAGCCCTTTTTCACGTATGGTTTCCAAAGGGACCCAAGGAATCCCGTACCCCCCACCCATCCCGTCCTTCCCCGGGAACTTCTTGGGCCCTTCATTTGGACCTTTATTTTTAAAATAATGGGGCAAACCACAACCCCCCCTACCCCCCGCCGGAAAGGGGGTCCCCAAACAAGGGGGGACTCCTATGGGTGGGAAGATCGGGTTGTGGTGCCGAGAAGCCCGAAAACCCCGGTTCCCTTGGGGCCTTTTCCATGACCAACCATTTGGGGGGGCACTTTGGGGCCCAGAAAAAAAACCCGGAACTTCTTTTCCCACGCCCCCTTTTGGAGGCCGGACAAAGGCTAAAAAGATTTTTTTAAGGGCTTTTGAAAAGGTTCCCCTTTTTCACCGCCAAAAGAACAAGCCCTTTCCCAAAAAACAAAGTTTTGG